ATTATTTAATATTTTATGGGTAAATTTGACATTTTGATAATATTTACAAATTGTTTACATAAATTTATTTACTTATATCATAAACTCATTTTTCAATCACATTTTTATTTCACATATATCACATAAAAAATTTGATACAGTAGTATAATTTTTATAAAAATTATCCTAAATAATTTTTCTATTCAAACAACATGAGTGGAACTCTCCCTCCATTTCTTCCCACTTTGGGAAGAAAGTTCTTTTAACCAATCTATCCCTCTATTTCCTTCCACTTTCCCTTCTGTTCTTTCCGCGTTAACAGTTAACGCTCCCAAACAAGGAAAAACTTCCTTCTTTTCTCTCCAAATCCCAGCATTCCCTCGTCTACGCGTTGGCATAGAAATCAATCTTCAGTTTGGAATTTGTTCCTAAACTTGACAATTGCTTGGAACCCTGAAACCAAATCCAAACAAAAGCATTCACAGCATATAGTGCTAACAAAGAACAGTCACCACACTCCGGCGGCAGCACCGGTCACCAATCTTACACGCACAAACAGGAAATGTCAAACGTGGTGGTGTTAGACAACGGCGGCGGCCTAATGAAAGCAGGCATAGGCGGCGAGAGGGACCCAACCGCTGTGGTACCCAACTGCACAGCTCGCCCTCTCTCCTCCAAAAAATGGCTAGTAGCTGACCAACTCCTCTCCCCGACCGAAGACCTTACTTCCGCCACCCTCCGCCGCCCTTTCGACCGCGGCCACTTGACAAATCCGGATCTCCAATCCACTCTCTGGGCCCATATTTTCGCTAACCTCCTGAAAATTTCACCTTCTCAGTGCTCCCTTCTCTTAACAGAACCCCTTTTCACCCTGCCATCAATTCAGCGTTCAGTTGACGAATTGGTCTTTGAAGAATTCAATTTCAAGGCCCTTTTTGTGGCTGATAGTCCCTCTTTAGTTCATTTGTACGAGGCTTCAAGAAGACCGTATGGGTTGGTCTCAAAAGCCCAGTGTAGCTTGGTTGTGGATAGTGGGTTCAGCTTTACTCATGCTGCCCCGGTGTTTCAGAACTTTACTTTGAATTATGGAGTGAAAAGATTGGATCTTGGTGGGAAAGCATTGACAAATTATTTGAAAGAGTTAGTTAGTTATAGGAGTGTTAATGTGATGGATGAAAGCTTTATTATAGATGATGTCAAAGAAAAGTTATGCTTTGTTTCTTTGGATGTTGACAGGGACTTGCAGATTGCAAGGTAAGATCCCTTCTTATCTTTTTTTGGAAAAAAAAAAAGATTCTTTCCTGAAACCATATTGTTGATATATTGAATGGACTGTATTGTTATCGTCTCATGTAAAATTTTCACGTTTTCCCTTTGTTTAAGTATAGCCAGTCATAGTTGGGGTTCCTGATTAAATTTCTGCTTGGTCAAGAAAGCTTGAATCTTGGATAACTAATGCCTTCAGATATCATATCAGTTAGATAATAGCAGAAAACTACTAACAAAAGAGCACCTAATGGAAAAGGTGATAAAATAATAATATCATGGGTGATTATAGGAACTGAATCCTGAGCATTAGCATCACTGGATTTTGACCATTTAGATGCTTAGAATCATGTAAACTGCATCAGCAATGAGTTATCTTGTTTTTTTCATTTGAGGCCTGGTTATTAGACAATATCTCATTTATGACTGGTGACTTCTGAATGATTGGTCCAGATGTTTTCTTTCTGTTTTAGGTACTGATTTTGGTAACTGAAGCTAGTGTTGCTTCCTCTGTCATCACAATTGACTTTACAGGAGACGTGGGAAGACTAACTTGTTCAGGTGTACATATGTGCTGCCTGACGGGATCACACATACGAGGGGTTATGTGAAAGACCCGGAAGAAGCAAAGAGGTACATGGGTTTGGATGATGGAGCTTCACTGGATTCTTTGGAAAAGGATGAAACAGACCGAGCAGACATCATTGGAAAACCTGAAGATAGAAGAACAATTGACTTGTCAAAAAATGTACTAGCTTCTTTTATTCTCAAAATAATTGTTTCTCCAGAACTCGTGAATCTAATCTTTATCCCCTTTTAACAGGAGTTTAGCATGACAAATGAGCGGTTTATTGTGCCGGAGATGTTATTCCGTCCAGCTGATTTGGGTCAGTGTATAAATGAGATTTTTGATACACTTGCTAGTTTTTTATTGGATTAAAGTACATCATAAGTTGAGAGATACCATAATATTTTGTTTTAAAATCTTCAAACTATGAGGTTTTGATTTGGTTAGGGTAACATCTAAATAAGTCTGGGATTCTTTGACCTAATTTGTACTAGCTATTGATGCATTGGTGGTCCACAGGAATGAACCAAGCAGGACTAGCAGAATGTATTGTTCGAGCTGTCAATTCCTGTCATCCTTATCTTCATCCTATACTATATCAAAGGTGCTGCAGATGCATCCTTAGATTGTGAAGCCTAAAGGCTTCATACGATAAATGCTTAAATGGGTGCTTGTGATGTCTCGAAACTGACATTAGTGTTGCAACTCTGGTTTTGACAGCATTATATTAACTGGTGGAAGCACACTGTTCCCCCAATTTGCTGAAAGATTGTGAGTTTAAGCTTCCTGCATTAATTTTTTGTTTCTTGATCTTACTTTAAAATTCTGACTATATCTTTTCATGCAGAGAGAGGGAGCTTCGACCACTTGTCCCAGATGCATATGAAGTGAAAATATCCAGTCAAGAAGAGTAATAATCTCATCCCTTAGTGTCTACCTTGACTAACCATGCTACGTATTTTGTTAGCTTTAACACCAATTGCTGTAACAGCCCTATATTAGGTGTTTGGCAGGGGGGATCACTTTTGGCATCAAGTCCTGACTTTGAAACAATGTGTGTTACCAAGGCTGAATATGAGGAGTTGGGTTCTGCTCGGTGCCGTAAGAGATTCTTTCGGTAGTTTGGAGATTCCAATGGTATTGTTTTATTGAAATACTTGTTTTTTTTTTTCCCTCTTTGGTAGTCTGCTTGATTTGATATGTTCAAAATTTTTTATAGTTATAGATGTGGAACCAAACTAAGCATCCTTCGTTACTTTAATACAATGGAAATTTATCAACTGTGATAGATTTGGTTCAACTTACTTCAATCAGTCAAATGGTCAATGGTTGCTGTTGCTCCATTGTGACTCGCAGCTCCTGTTTATTGGGCACCACTGCCTGCCAGGATATATGGTTCGGTCTCCCTTTATTTCTATATGTTCACTCTGACTTGTTATCAGTCAGCATGTTGTGACTTGTTGGCCACTTATTTTATTAGCCTATAACAAGGCATGCCTCAGATTTGCTATAATTGAATTGACAAAACAGAAGGGATCAGGAACCTCGTGTTTGTGTTGTTCCCTGGTTGATGCAAGAGTTTGTGCGATTTTTTCCTTGGGCACCTGTTGTTAATTTACATTTGCTTAATGGATGGAAGTGGGCAATTTGAGACACAGGATATGTGGCCCTTTTTTTTTTCCCCTCTTTTTAAAGAACCAAAATAGGATTGGACTTCACGCTCTTCTGATCATGATCGCGATCTGGTGTGTTAAGTCGGCTCAGGGAATTCGGATAGTCCTCCAGAAATACTTAAATATTCTGTTTTGGCACTTTATGTTGTTCTCAAATGCCTATTTTTGCTTGGAATAATTGCTTGGAAATTCTTCATAACGTCCCTTATATGAATTTTGGTCATGCCGTCTTATCCCTCTCCTGTTGGATTATTCAGAAACAGGAGCACAGGAGAAATGGCTAAATTTTGCTGTTTTTCTGCAGAGATCTAATTGAAAGCAGCACTGTGAGTTGTCATGCCTTTAGTTATCTCATCGTGGTCAATGTCAAAGCAACGGTTTGCTGAAAAGCATGGAGCAAAGCAAGAAGCGGATGTGCAGTTTTCTTGTTGCATCCAGCCATATTTTTATGCCAGATGGTAGGAGTTAAATTGTCATTACTGCAAGCGTTCTCCTGTCTTCGAAAGTAACTTGCTTGTGGGCCTATTGCTTCCTTTATTTGAATTTGTCTTACCTTTTCTTTCCGCTCTATTTTGAATTTGTCTTCATTTTTTGTTCTTGATTTCAATCAGTTGTGTCCAAATTATATATTTTTTTATAGTTGATTCTTTGATTCTGAAATAGATTGTGCAAAACAGAAATTTCTAAAGTTTCATTTTGACCAGAGTTTGCTTATTCAATTCTTCTAAAATAATGTTAAATGAGCTTCAAGATGGGTTCTTTTTGACATGGGGTTCTTGTGTCAGTTCAGGACAGTCAGTTGGCTTTGCATGAGCAAGCGAAGGGGAAGGGAGTTTAGGCATATGGAATGACAGGACCATTTCGCCTGGTTGAGCGCTGTTAGGCTTCAACCTGAAAGAATACATGGTTCTCTCTCTTGTAAAGCACCAGTTGCTGCTATTTTCTTCATTAGAAGCCTTTACGCTCGAGGAGAACCCGCCGTAGCGCATCAGACGGTGGTCTGAATTCTGGAAACGCCGCAGTCGCTCTTGCACTCTGGTGGTAGTCAGAGCAAATCATGAAGTCGTGCTTGTTCTCGTATATGAATATCTCCTATTGTTAGGCGGAAACTTCGGGTCCGAGCATTCTTCAAGGATTTTCTCTCAATCTTTTTTGGCGTTCTGCATTCAAGATTCATGCGCATATGACCTAAAAATCACTTTTTGAGTTTTCGAATGCGCCTGATTACATCTGATAAGATACACTCTGAATTAACACAATCTTGGAGCAGACACTTTTTTTTTTTTTTTTTTTGGCCTTTAAGTAACTTGGAGCATACATCTGATTTATTGAGTTAACAAAAATTGAGGATTTGACATCTACTACTAATCCAAGGACATCAAGTGTCAAACGCTCGGACAGATGTATTCACCATTCGATAAATGTCTCCACTGTTCACCATTCCGGCTGCCATGGTACCACGTGGAGCAAAGGCAACAGGTAAAAGATTATATATATATAGAGACACAAACATGTACATATATGCGTATGTATGTATATGACAATGATGTTTTACAACAATAATTGGCAGTGATTTGCGGACTGGCAAAAATCAAAATAATGATCATGTAAAACTAAGATGCAGCAGTATAGGACCTTTCATTCAGGGGTTACCATACTGCCGATCACAGTAAAATTTTGATACAATTGTATGCGCGGTTCAAACTCGGTGGTATGACTTGATAGATTTAAAAGTATTCACGAAGTGTCGGTAAAAAAATTACATCCTCTCTGACAACCTAACCGGAATAATTACATCTTTGGCATACAGGCGCTTGCTTTTATGGTACAGATGAATGCTCTTGGCTGCAGGGCTAGAACAATAATGCCCTCTTAACCAAACCAATGATTTTTGTTGGTGAAACCAATGAATCTGCTTAAGAACGACTCCCATAATTCAGGTGAAATTTTCAGTAAAGCGCACACAATATCTTTGATCTGTTGGCTGAGATTTTGCAGTCTCCGGCTTCAGTGGAGCCAGCACAATGGCACTATGATTTGAACCACCTTATCATGCAAAAGAACTTGCTTAACCGGGGATATAATCTTTCTGGTCAGTCATCCAAGAGATGAAGAAAAACCGATGCCAGATTAGTTCATTCAATCAGAAAAGGGCTGTGAATCCATGCACATATGTACTAGTTTTCTTTGATACTGTCCATAATATTCACCAACTGCAAGAACATCTTCATTCTCGGGATTCAATCCTGGCAGGTAAGGCAATTTATCCTTCATCAAAGAACTGGATTCTTCATCTGAACCCAAGCTGGATATGAAATCAGCATGAATTTCGCGGCATGCAAGAATGAACATGGCAGCTGTGTCTGGTTGTTGTGCCTCGCGAAGTGCTGCAAGTGCATCTTGCAATGAACCAGCTGAAACGTACAAAATCAGAGCCCTGCACAAGTCAAGATAAATATTACTACATACATAGAGAATTTTTTGAAACGGAAGAGACACAAAAGGGTGTTACCTCCAAATTTTATGTTCAGCACGAAGAACATGTTCAGCCCACCTCTGCAGAACCCTGGATGATTAAAGTATAGATGATGAACATCTTGTCATTTTGGCAGCCAACAGAAAACAGCCAAACAAAATCCCATCATTATCAATTACCTTTTTTAGCTTAGTCTTGAAACAAACAGCTTATGGATCAATAAACATTTGATGCATTGCAATAAAAATAGCACATACACCATCTTCAGGTAATTATGAAGAGAGACAGAAATACCAAATAAGATTTGGTCTTTGGCAAATATGTGAGATTGGTGACTAGAAAACAAATGAGGCACTATAGAGTTTTATCCAGGTCAGAAATGTAATCAAAACATCCACTATTGTAGCAAATCTTCGAACATTATTAGAGGAAATTACATACAAGAAATAACAAATTTAGTTCAACTTTTTCACTCTATGAATGGATCTGGGCAGAAAATTTGATGTCTGGATTTGAACTACTGTGCACTCTCAAGCTTGTATACAAAGTATAATGCCATTCATAAGCAAAACCTTCTAAAAACTCCTTATTGTAAAGCATATGAGCTCAATAAGATTTTCACAAAATTTTGGGTTGAAATATAGTCAACCTTGCATAATCAGACCCTTTCAAATGTGTTGCAGCTAGTGTTGCAGCATCAGTCCAGCACCCAGCATCTTGTAGCTGCAAAAGAGAAGTGAAGATGCATCCTTGTCAACCATTAGTCACCCATTGGACTGAAATAACTGTGTCTCCATAGAGAAGCAGCAGCAATGAATCAACTCATCACATTCATCTGCTTGACTTAACGAGATAAATAGATTAATATCGCAAACTCCATGAACAAGCTCATGCCAATCAAATGTCATCCGAAACATCCTCCTTTTCAGCCACCCTATGATAATTTTATCATTCTCTACATAATTTCACATTCCATTTCCTACTTGGCAATAATTGCACCTGATTGGCCAATGCTGAGCTTCTTGGGTATATATTGGTGTTTATATTTGTTTTGGTTCTATAGATCATAGTATCTACAATCACATGTACTCATATCTGTAAGTCCTACTTTTCTAAGCCACGGAATATGTATTAATTTAACCTTTACTTTTGTTTTTCAGCATTAGCAAACTAAATCCCACTCTCCTGCATACTGAGAAAACTTAACCCAACTAAAAACAGAATAATTGTACCCTGTAATGGAACAGTAGATGGTTTAACCCATGACTTCATTAGTAAAGGAAAATTTGACCATAGATGCCACAGCCACACAAGGCAGAACACTACCTGGGAACAAGCTTCCTGATACCTTCCAACAGCACAAAGCAAATGCATTCCGGACAATGACCTGTCTGTTCTGACCATATTTGCTGCAACAACCTTTAAGTGAATAGCAAAATCAGATGTCACAAAGAACTGCAAGTTTTATGCTCAAAACTAGAACAGCTCAATGTGACAAATACCTTTAAAGCCAGCTCAAGCAAAGATCTTGACACTGCAGATGAAAGAGCAATAGCACGCAGAGCATTTGGATAGAAGTAAGAACTCTCAGGAGAAGTGGAAAGCAACAAACTGACAGCAGCTTCTAGGTTGCCAATTGAGACGAGTCTGTGAATTACCAACATCAAATATATAGCTGCTAAGCAAAAAGAACAACTGATCATCTTGAATTTTCAACATATATGTTTGTAATGCTTACTTCTGATCTAAGGGGCACTATACGTGAAAAAAGAAGTTAACATATTGAAAAAAAAGTTATCAATCATATTTGTCGACCCATATTTCATACCATACATAAATATCTGATGTTTGATCCAATAATTGACAAGCAAAACACAAAAAATTTGGAATCACAACCAGATAGGATAATTTTAGAGTTAGGTACACACGAATTCACATTGCTTATCTTTAAGCCGTCAATGGATCATAATGTAATCCAGAAGAAAGTATCAAGCAGAAAAAAGAAATACTTCTGTAAAAGAAGAATATGAGGTAGAAAACTCACTCATGTACTCGGTTCTGAATGGCCTCTTCGCCATCCAATTTCTCATGCCAAGGGATACGCTCACTAGCACTATCCCACAATTCTTGTTGTTCAAAAGCCATCAACCTTAGTTGACCTTTTGTCTGCCAAGAAAATAGCCACCTAAGGGGTAATAAACTTCACATGGAACTGATGGGTACAGTAGTTACAGTAAGTACAGTATACACTATTCCAAAAGACTAACATGGATCCCATTGCTCAGAATAGTTGGAGTAGAACTTGCAGGAATCTAAATGGTCTAAGAAAAATTTGTGTTAACATCTATACACAATAAATAACTAACCTTTCCTGCATCTCCAGGTACTGATTTCCCTTTTGAGGATATCCTGCTGAGCATTGATTCCTCATCGAGCTCCACAGTCGAAGTCGAGGATGGTACTGGGACTCTTGTTGGAGACTTTTTTACCAATTTATTCATCAAGTGGTTAAGGGCATTGGGAAGTTGCAGCCAGAAAAGTGCTTCCATGAAATCGCCAAAGATTGCAGCAGCAAAAGCAAACCGCAGTGCAGAACCTTTGTTGACTACACTAGCATATAATCTTGCCCTCTCATCATCAAGTATGCAGCCTAAAGCAAAAAAAATTTAGAAATATGTACGACAAGGAAACAGCACCAAACACCCAAAAACCGATTGCCTTAAATTAGAAAAAACCTTCTTTGCGGTAAGGCTCCAACACCTTTAGGAGCATCTCTGGCACTACAGAGTCACCTACACGAGGTGAATCCATCATATAGCTACGGAGATCTGTAGTTGACGGAGTTTGAACATGGTAATCTGCATTTTCCATGGTTGAATAAAATGCATTAAACCATGAGGGTTTTACACCCAATTGCAAGATCATCCTCAATGCCTGCAAAAATGAACAAGAAACTGAAACAATTCCTCTACCAGTATTGACTGTTGCCAGCTGTACAAAATGTATAGAACCATGAAGGTTTTCACCCAACTATAGGATCACTCACAACCCAGGAGGAAGGGACAAACATGCAACCATGAAGATGGTTACCAAACATATGTCTGCGAATCTCTAAACTACATGTGCCTTTTACAGATAGGATAAGTGCCGAACTGATGATTACAACAACACTCAAACTACATTTCCTAAAAAGTAGGCATCAGATGTCGAAGATGCTCTTTGTATGCGGACTAGGATAATAGCATTCCCCAGAAAAGAAGAAAAAGAAATCTGAGTGTCTGAATACTTCACATTGCAATTGGGTATAACTGTTTACTAAATGCAAACCCTTCACATTTAAAAAATCACCCCTGAACCATGAAATTGCAAATTGACAAAAGTCTGCCTCAAGACAAATGCCACGAAAATTAGAAGAATGGCTATTTCCTGCACACTTCAAATACTACATATACTCCACATTTTTCATTTAATAAAGCTTAAACCAGGAGGAATCTATTGACTGATACGGTCTAGGAATAACTTACACCAAATTAGTATGTCATGAGAATAATTAAAGAAGACGTAAACTTACTAGGGCATGTGGTGTAGGTAACAATATGGGTGAACAAAGAGGGACAGGACGGAATCTTTCTTTAATACTTCGATTCTGGGATTCATAGCCCACTTTTCTGTCACTTCTGCATCAACAAGAGAAATATCATAAAATATAGTGCTTGAGTTCATAAACTTGCAAAGGATTTGACTTCTAAATGATCATAGAAAAGCCAAACATGAAAGATACAAGATTACAATATCTTGGAACAAAATTGCTCCTGAACCTTGATTGTGCGCAAGTTCTACAAGAATGGTGCCAGAAGGTGGCATTCAAGACGTGGATTTCAGAAAATAAGCAATAACATAAAACCAAAAATGATTAAATTCCCTCCACAGCATGCTTAGGTCCTTATCTTCATGAAGAATGTCTTCTCAACATTCATCAAATTACTATATTGCAAAACAAATTATGCCTACATGACCCATTTAAATCTGTAAAACAAAATAGATGAGGATAAACCTAAAACAGACAAAATCAAGGATATCCAACAACTAAGACAGCAACTTAAAGCTTTAAGCTTTATTGTTCAAAAATGCTTATTAGCAAGATAAGTGGTTTAGATATCAAGAATAGTGTTCAAGATGTTTCAGATTAAAGAGCAGCATAACTTCATGTATATTTGGCTGGTAAGTGCTCAGACCAGTTTTAGACCAAGTTCAATTTGACATGATGAGTATTATACACACACTGGTCATAGTTTGATCTACATCCAGACCAAGACTTGGTTGTTAGAGGTTACAGCAGGAAGATGGATTGACTAGAACCCCTTTTTTTAACATCTCTCTCTCTCCCTGAATAGAATTTGACCAAAACTGAGTTCCTATTACAAAACCATTAAGCTAATTCCAATTACAGATACGTATAAGGCTGCATCTCACATCAAATATCTCATCAAGATGCTGCTTCAAAGTTCAAACCATAAGTTGGATAGAATTCAGTTCAAACCAGAAATTAGATAGAATTCTCTTATTAGGGTTTTTTTTGTGAAATCTCTTATTCCGTAATTTGACACAGAAGTAAAAAATTTAGTGGGTCAAAATATTGAGTCACAGGCAAAACAAAAAGTTCAAGAGTTTAAGAACAACTCAAAAATATTGGATACAAAGAATTCTAAGTCTAATTCAAATTCCTGTCCTGTCTAATGAGATAAGCTAAAGGTGCTCAGTAAACACATGATATTGAAACATAAATAACCTTTTCTTTTAATTTTTTTTCTAGCAGGGGAGGGAACCCAGGACCTCTATGTCCCAAGGTCTCAACTTTAGCTACTAGACTTAGGCCTCATTGGCTAAAACATGAAAAACCCAAAAAGAAACTTGAAGGAGTTACGGCACATACAATTTAACTTCCACAAGGCGGAAGCTGCTATCGGCTCCAGCAATGCACAATACTAGCGGATCATTCTTCTCAATCCGCACAGGCAACCAGTCCAGTTCCAAAACTAGTGTTCCAGGAAATTGAGGTTGTAGAAGGGAATTGGCTAATGGATCAGGTGAATCCTGAGACAAGAAACGCAAATTATTAAGTTTAGAATCATTGAAGAAATAAACTGAACATAAAAGAGACTAGTTTTTTTTTTTTCCTCTCGGAACAGCATTATAAAAGAGAGACTAGTTAAGTTGATTAAATATGGCAAAGTTGCAAATTTAAGGAAAATGTTTTACAAACATAGAGAAGCAATTTATTCTCCATGGTTGGAATAGGCTAAATGCCAACAAATTGCATAAATGCATTCATCATCTCTGCTAATGGTGAAAGTACAGGTTGCTCCATGAGTAACTAGAGATAGCCAACACATAAAACCTGATAAACTGAATATAGTTCATCATCAAATATGGCAGCTAAGCATTCACGTATAAATGCTTCAATTCACAAAACTTAACCATTCTAAACCATCTTGCTTACAAGGTCAAATACAGAAAATGTGTTGTCATAAAAGAGAACAGCAATACGTCCTCGGCTACGATCTCCAAGAACAACAGGTGAAAACTTAATCCTGCGAATTCCTTCCCTGTGAGTGTTAAATGACGATGACTGGCCAGTAGTCACATCCCACCAACGAATGTTTCCTGACCTGTCCCCCATGACCTGAGAAATAAATACATCACTTCTTCCAATAGTACTCAATATTTACCATAAATCAGCCAGATTTTTCTGGTAAACCAAAGTAGATACTCACAACATGAGGCAGGCGATATGCCATTGCTGTAATCAACCCATCAGATGTCACAAATGTAGAAGTAGGCCACTTTGGTCTGGAAAGAAGTCAAAGTCCAATAAGGTAAAGGATAAGGTACTAAAAACCACATAAATATTGATATTTCATTTGAAAAATGGACAGCATATACCAAATCATTGACAACAAAAGATAACAAGAAGGAAACACAGCAGTTTCTTGTTTCATGTATACACAGGCTATATACCTTGAAACCTAATCAGATACATGCAGTTCCCATCCAAATGCTTTGAGAAGCTAATGGTGACGCATTTCACTTTTATTTTACCATTGCTCTTACAATCGAATGCAGATTATATATTGAGATTCTAAATGTGTGTTCATTTGATCATGATCCTTGTGAAGCGAAAGGGAGACTAGACTCGCTTCTCTTGGAGTTAATCTGGAGGCTGTTTGCTTTTAGTTACAAGGATGTAATCATTAAAGAAAACTCAATTTAAACAATCTGTTCTTTTCATTATTAAAGTTACTTGCATTCCTGGTTATGTACTTATAAGTTTCACAGTTATCTTTCACGGAAGATATAAATCTTGTGGAAATGCAGGGAGGACCAAACCTAAAGTCTCGGATCCTTCGGCCATGAACCTCAAAAACACCAAGTGCACCGTTTACCAAAGCGAAAGCAAAACTTTCTGAAAATTCATCTTGAGCGCCATCTGCAGATGCTCCCTCTGCAACCAAAATGCAAATTCGTCATGGATGATGAAGGAAGCTAAGAGGATAACCAGTGAAACACTTCTCGCATACTATGTGAACTAAGAAGACAACCCAAGAATCCAAATATAAATAACTACAGCATACATCCAACAACATCAGAACTTTAGAAGCTCACTGGATTCTGCAGAAGATGCCATAGGGGAAGATGTCCCAGCTGGCAGGATAGCTGCCTGGTCTTTGGATGATACTGACGAGGACTTTGATGGTCCATTCTGAGTTGGCCTCGGAACTGTTGGAAGTGTCCATTCCACTACAGTAAATGGAAGAGCTAATGACCTCAGCTGCATTATGGGATGAAATGAATGTGATCAAGTCCAAAGCAAAATGGTGAACTATTAATCAAGCAAGGTTGAAATGTCAGCGCTTGTATCAGAAACACAACTAGGCCATTATGGAGTTCTGAGCATCCTATAGAGGTAATCATTTCTTCATTGAAGATAAGGATGCTTCTTGCAGCAAAACCTTCTGAAGTCATGTAAGCCATTCCCTACACCTCACTTGTAAGCAGAATGTATTTTCTCTTCATTCAGTCGGTTACATTAGTAATGTCCACAGCAGTATCATACGAAAAGGTTATGCTAATCTAGTCCCATTGGAAAATTCGGAAGCAGTTCTCTTCATTCAAGAATAAAACTGGTTTGAAAGGAAAACCCAGAAAAACAGAGTATAGTATAGAATATTTAACTTTCAAACCTGATAAATAAAGGTGGACTCTTAAAGAGTAAAATGAACAATGGAATAGACATAACACCAAATAAACACTCCTACCATCCAGATTCTATTTTCTTCCACAAAAATTGAACTCGACAAAGACATGTATCTGATATGTTTTGACATGCATAACTATCTTATTCATTAAATTAAAAAAAAAAAAAGAAATTCAAACATTCCAGATAGCAAATTTTACTCCTTTTACTATGACATTTTGAAATATCTTCAGGACATAAGCCAACACAATAGGAGTGTAGTAAAACTGTTAGAGAGAAATGATAAACATCCACAGGGAAAAGGAACAGGCCAATTTACCATAATTGGAGTCTTAGTCATTGCCCAAACCTCCACAGGTGCATCACGAAACAATATTAATAGATACCTAAAAGGAAAGAAGAAATTTGACTTACTACTAAAAGATCCCATATGCTATTGGTACACAAAAACATGCTCCAATTCAAACAGCAAAAGTAGTAGCTGCACAAGTTTACTTTGGCAACACGTGTTTCATATCATTCTGCAACCAAATGAAATACCATATCACATGTTCTAATGCCAGCAACTTAAAGGAAAGTAACTTACAGGTTGTAAGGAATTTAAGAAAAAATAATACATTCAATAGATGTTGAAAAAATCCTCTAGAACTCAGTTGAATGATTGAGTCAAAACAAATTAATGCCAAGAGAATTTTTCAATGTCTAATGAAAATGCTGAAAACTGCTTTCCAATGAAAATGCAGGGAATCCAAGTCTGAAGAAAACCTTCCAGAAGAAGATGCCCTTAGAGCTCTTATAGGTGCACGCTCTGGCTTTTGCATCACTCGGAATGTTCGATTAAGGCCACTTCTAACACAAGTCACAACAAGCTTGTTAATAAAGCCTCCAGTTTTTTCTGTCCCCTGAGTCCAGAAATCATCATATACAACCAGTAAAGGAAAATTATGAGAACTGATTGCCGTAAACCAATTAGAATGAAAGAACATATGAAATCTGAACTACCAAATAACGAATACAATATCTTCCAAAGCCATTAAAACAAGCCTCCATCATGATACTTCATACCTGGATATAAGAGAAGGATACCAGCCTAGAATTTCCAAGCCATCGCAATCCCCTAACCACACTGTTATGAACAGAAAAACTAGCAGCTACAGCATTTGCGGAGACATCAATGACCTCAATAGAACCACTTTGGGTTCCCAAAGCAACAAGTGGAACAGCCACAGCAGGAAGGTTTCCACCACCTTCATAAATTGTATCAGTTCAGTTATTCCAGGAGAAAAGTGACAACTGGAAAAAACTGACTGTAAAAACTTACTGACATAATAAACTAAAGAAATTACTTACGTGCCAAAGTGGCTGTTAAGGAAGGGGATGGCACAGCAAGCATGGTAACAGTTGAAGAAAGGAGATGAAGCTGTCCAACTAGGTTAATCTGCATTAATGTTTGACTTTATAAGTTATAGGGATCATCAAAAGAATTTTACAAGAAGTAACACAACACTTTCTTCGTTAGGCATGAATCTAACATCACGCTATTGCATAACCTTTTAGATGCCAACAATGTATATCTACAAACAGACAAGAAAATGCTCAAAAGAGGCAATTAATTCGCAACCACAATATTTGCTAGTAAAAACCAGCAATTTACTCCTATAGGACCTGTACAAGTTCCTAGGAAGCAAAAACTGACAACTCAGAGAAAAACTAAAACTTAGCTGCAGCTGCGTTCAATTGGAAAATCATCCCTAACCATCCAGAGTACACGGACAGAAAAAACATGGAACACACAAGAAAAAGGGGAAGAGGGTGGGAGTGGGCACAGTGTAGGAGGAAAGAAGACATCAAACCTAAGCCTATCTCCACAACTAAGTTTAAGTAATATCTATCAGGTTCAAGTAAAATCCCCATATGACAGAAAACCTTGAGAAACTAAAGGTGAAAACACAACTACTCGAAAACAATTAAAGAAAAGCTACCCAGGCCTATTATGTCTCTCAGAACTATAGTCCACCACTATACTTTATTACATATTAGCACTCCATATCTTTACAACAATCCCACAATTCTTGAAGCAGATTTCATTTTTAGCGTATCTCATTATATAGAAAAATTCAAAACAACAAACATAAGTTCAACATCAGATGCAACATAACTTGTCACTTATCACCATTAGCTATAAAACTTTTTATTTGCTCCTTTTCATTTTGCCTTGAATGAGCAACAAACTTGTCTTCATTCAGTACTATGTCCAAAGTTGTCACCTTCAACCTAGTACTTAAATTGAAAAATGGCAGCAGATAGTGATGAATGAGGGTGTCAACCCAAATTTAAGCTAGAGAACAAGAACCACAGGAATTTGAACCTAAATCATAAATTCAAAAGTGTACAAGCAGGAACAGAGAAAGTAGAAAGTCATACAGCATTTCAAATCTATTGGTTATAGACTGGACAAGGAATAAATAGAGTACCAATCAGGGATTCCAACTATTATTTTTGTGAAACAGCCATGCTGCTAGTGCCCAAGTGTGGTATGATTTCTAACAGAAAAGTGCAACCAAGCATGCAGTACATAATAGAGAATAAAGAAGTGCACTTGCACACAAACCTTTAATAACACTTCTTCTTGGCTGATAGTTGGATTAGATGGACTAATCCTATGGCTATTGACATCATTTGATGGGCCAACCACATTCAATGGATCATCATCAGCAGAAGGCGCTGCTGTCCCACCATTTGCCTCAAGAAGATCTTTGTCTTTGACAGGGCCTGAATTAGTTGATCCATCACCAAATCCTTCAGCAGTTAGGAGCCATTTCCATATTTTGCCATCATCAGATATGGATATCATATTTGTCTTTGAGATAACGAGAGATTCATCACAAAAATCAAAGGGATTATTAAAATCCACAGCAAATGAGCTGTGTACATCAGAGCAAAGCTTGCTGATATTTTGGAGGGTGGAATCTGTTTGGGAGACCACAACTGCAAGAATTGAGGGAGAAGGAACCGGTGTCCCGACTGAGGGCATCAATTCTTCCATCATACACATGATGTGCACCTGCTCTCCTCTGTGATATTATAGTATTAAAGTAAGTACATTCCCTAAAGTCCAGCAAACTCAATTATACATGTGCAGCTCATCAAATACATGACAAAGATAGCGACACTATTTGAAATTCAAAGGTTTCAGTTGCCGCAAACAAGGAAAATAAATAGAACACATACAACAAAGAACAAAATACTAAATTAGAGCAAACCCTATCGAGAAGCTAATTTAACTGGCCAATGTTCATAGCTGACAGAGAAATCAATTTCATAGCAGTTTCCCTTTATTCCTAATCTTCCCCGCAGCTTACCTCTAACTTGAACTAAGGCATTCAATGCGTGGCCTGAAGTCTATGTTAAGAAAAAAATATCAAAGCAGAATTAAGCCCAAATACCACCCAGGCATTACCGGCAAAATGCCATTCACCAAAGCAAAGTGTATTTTTTTAACACATTGAGATGATGAAATAGTATGAAGGACTACAAGATCTTTCAATTTTTCTACTTCTAAACACATATTGACACAGAAAATATTAGCTATTCTACTACTGCAGCTTAATGACTAAAAAAGTACGTCACAAGAAATTGTCCGTATAGCTTCTATGCAATTATCTGGAATTCTTAATTTTTTTTCATTTCTCGAAGGCACCTTATTGGTCTATCATTCTTGCTCGTGCAGAATAGCTGACCATTTCATCTAAGCCGGCAAATATTCTTAGAACTAGTATGGAAACAACACATCCACTCTCAATTGTTGATGCATTTTAAAGTTGTACTACTAAAATGAAAACCATTTCCTCATCAAAAACAATTGATCGACATCCAAATCATTTACGTTCAGTCCACTACTTACCCTTTCCTCCTCCATGTACTCACTTTACCATCAACATGAGCACAATAAAACACTTCCATGTTTGAGTCTGCCAAGACATCTAAAAACTTCCCACATCCCCTGGGCAATGCAGCCATAGATAATTCTGTCTCATACTGCAAATCAAAAACCACCAACTCCCTCGGAAACACCACATACAGTATATGCTTCCAATGCCATGAAAATGCGAATCTCACCATATAGGTAGGGAAAACGGCCAACGCGGGAGCCCCATTCCCCCCTGCACCGCTACTGGAATCCCTTTCTAGCCTCTGCAATTCAGAGGTCTCCGTACGAATCTGAAGCTCCTTTACAACTACATCGTTTTCGGTGTCCCCTAAAACTGTTCCAGACAGAAGAAATCCCTTTAGACCCAATGCACAGAAATGTCGACGGTCGAAAGGGTCTCCGCGGATACACGAGAAGAACTCTGGGGAGGCGTCATATTTGAAGAAGCAACGACCGGAAATGGTACTGTAGAGAGAGAGCAGAGAGGGTCCGGACAGAGCCGCCAGGATCCAGGAATCAATTCGGGTCTGGATCCAGCAAAGGTCCTGGATACCGAGCTTGGAAGTAGCAGCATCAGTTTCGAAGTTAAGGATGGTGGATTTAGAGCGGAAATCGAGGAGGGAGATGCGGCCCTGGCGATCACCGACGGCGAGAAGGAGGTGGTTGAGAGAATCTGGGGAGAGGAGCTGGTGGGGCAGAGGCTGCGGGGACCAGCGGACGGAGGTGACGAAAGGGGAGAGGGAAGGAGTAGCAGAGGTAGCAGCAGTAGATGGAGGAGGGAGAGGAATTGTGGCGACTAACTGCATAGAATGGGTATCCACAATGGATACAGAGCTGCCGGCGGCGTAAGCAAGGAGACCGGCGGGAGATAGGTCGGCGGCACCGCCATTGTTGCGAGAAGGTGGACCGGGAAGCATGGTATCCCAAGATTCATTTAAGGGTCGCGGAATTGATGCCATGATCCTCGTTGAATCAGAGAGAGAAGTATTAGATGATGTGATACTAAATTTTGAATGGAATGAATTGGAAGGATGGGGGGTTGTGTTGAGAGATCTTGAGGTTCATTGATGATGGGTTTGTTAGTTTTTTCAGCTACTACTGAAATATGGGGACTGGCGACTGGTGACTAGGGGATGGAGGAGGAGTTCTGAGCTGGCTGAGAATTTTCGCCGGAGCAAATCTGCATGTTCAAAAGCGTTGAATTGAGTAGAGCTGCAGGAGGACAGTGTGCGGATGAATAGGTGACCTGTCATGAGGTGTATTGCCAGTAGTTTTTTTTTTTTTTTTAATAAATGAAATTCACAAGAACTGAAATATGGTTAAGAACAAGTAGTGTTGGCTTGTTTGGATTGCCTTTTTCTTAACTTTTTGTAAAATAAAATTATTGTAATGATTTAATATATGTGAGATAAAAAAAATGATTGAAATATATGTTAAAAAAAAATTACAATCACACTTAGTAATTAATGATTTTTTTTATTTGAATATGAAGTAATCATTATACACCTTTTCTTCCACATATAGTTTGGGAGTTTAGGACAAAAAAAAAAGATGAAAAAACTTAAGTTACTAGAAAAGAGAAGAAATTCTTATATTGTTCGGGAGTTTTAAAAATTAGTAAAATACTTTTGAATATGAAACTCATAAATATTTGTTCAAGATTCAAACACTATATAATTTTCATAGGTTTTTAAAAATAGCTCTTAAATTTTAAAAAAAATCACTTTTTTCTCTTATTTTCAATTCAAAAAATATCACTTTTCTCTTTTATTCAAATTTTTGTTACATTTTCAACCCAGCCAAATTGATCATAGGTGCTCTTAAAATTTAAAAATGATCAATCCAACGAACACAGTATTCAGAGCATCAATTGCAAGACAGTGACTGGACTCATTAAAAGAAAAAAAGAAAAGAAAAACGCACGCACTATAATAATTCCTTTACTGCTCAGTGACCTGATTCTTCACATAATAAAACTAGCAACAGTTCTGATCTGCTTCTTCGCATAAAAGATAAAAACCAGTGTAACAGTTTCAGCATCCAATTTCTTTCCCTCCGGAGTTTCTATAACCGGAAGCCGGAAGGAACCAACACTTGCTTTGTAGTAGTTCAAATTTGGTAGATTTGTAAGTGGCAGTTATATAGCTGAACAGATGAGCAGCAGAAGTCCAATTGTGGAAAAGATATTTTGCTTTGAAGAAGAAACCCATCTCACGGTTCACAAGACTTCCATCTTCGTTCCCGGCGGCGGCGATGGGTTCATTGTGTATAATCCCACCTGGGAAATGACCTTCCGAGTTGACTCCTACGGTCCAGATTCTGCCTCTAAAGATGAACTTGTTCTCATGGATTCCTCCGGCAAATCTCTCGTCACCCTCCTCCGCAAGGTCGGTGCACGTCTACATCTACTATTTGATTATTCGCCACTTTCCAATTTTGACAGCTTTACTGTTACTATTGTTCAATATTTTATCATTTGATTAATTCCCACCCACCCTCGTCATAAACTTCCACTTTCAGAGGTGCCAAATAATTTGTCATAATTATCGAATACTGCGGTATTACTCTGTATTAGTATCGCGGAAGGCAATCATGGGTGATGGAACGATTAAATAAATCATAAAACTCAGTCGATGTATACACCAGTTGGGCACAGGCATGAATCTAGTCTATTAGCGTATGCATTGACGGTTCAAGGACAATTACCTTACCCAAACGTTTTCTTTTGCCTTTCTCTTGTTTTTGTGTTTGGGGGGGTAAAAAAATATGATTGTGCTGAATGAAAACTGATTATGAGGCGGTGTCTTGTCCAACCACAAGTGAAAGAATTCTCCAAGCTTATCGTGAAACAAATATTATGGCTTTGAGCACTGACGAGTGCTTTTTTGTTGGCAAATGTTAGTCCAAAGTTTTAATTCCACCACTTAAATGAGTCGCTCGACAAATTTTCCAACCAATCGTCCCCACTTACGGATTTTCACCGGGTGGATTTTTTTTTCCCTTAAAATTTTCACTGAAATGTTTTTCTTGACCTATCAAACAAGATTTGATTGCCCTTGATCATTGATGATGCCTTTAGGACGGGTGCACAGTACCTAGCCAAGAACTTCCGAGTTTAGAGTATCAACTAGGAATGTTAATTTGTACCGCAGTTCCCCTTTCATGTATATGGGTCATGAAGATTACTACGTTGTCGGCCAATCGCCTTCAAACTGAAAAATTGAGTAATGGCATTGCGAATCTTTACTTCTTTATCTTCAACCCACCGGACATCGGGCTAGTAACGGTTCCCCTCTCGGCGTGGCCCTAATTTCAACTGCATTTAATGATGATGTATCATGAAATGCAAGCACATTCGTTTCCAGTAGTGTCTTCTTTGTAAATCACATTATTGACATTTCATTCCAATCCCCACCACATTTTCCTTTTCTCTTCCAAACATGTTTGGGTTAAAGCGTAGAAACGAAGCCTTCATCAAAGGTGGGAAGCATTTTTAGGAGAGAAGAAGAAGGATGAGCAGCAGCCAGCCTTTAGCATATTCAAATCATCCATAATCGGAAAATTTGATCTATTAGTAGAGGTCTGTGGTCATGATCCAGTTTCGGAGTACCACATCTTTTCTGCAGCGATCATGTGCCATCTACAATCTGAAAGCAGGTAGCGAGTTGAAAGAACTTGTTGCTGAGATCAAGAGGAAAGTCGATCCTGACACAAATGAGATGTTGGGAAAGGATGTTTTCTTGTTGTGCCTTAAACCTTTGGTTGATGGTGCATTCATGATGGCTTTAATGCTTGTCCTTGATCGAATGGGCGGGGTTGATATGGATGACACTAATCAGGCTCCTACTACAACTGCGGAAGACACCACTGTCTCTTCTTGATTTATCATTTGTCGCTCTTCAAAAGCATGGGGTGTAATCATCTGACCCTTGCATGTGCAATTCAGACCATTAAATTCTTCCAAGGTTTCTGAACTTCGTATTCCAGGTTTTGCAAGGGGAAAATGTTTTACGGGCATATCATGAACTATCCACGCTCAAAGTTTGTACACCAACCTTAATCTTAAAGTTGACGCATGACTTGGTGGCTTGCTTTGCAGGGCATGATTGAAGACTTTGAATTTGATTTCATTGCAGATGGAATTACATCCTTGGTTGGAGGTAATAGGGTGGTTCTAGAGGTGGGCTAAATCTTTCCGCACGTAAATACAACGAGTATGCACAAATTGATGTGATTGGCACACACAATTGAATATTGAAAGGCGGCTTCTTTTTTTTTACCTTGGGGAAGTTATTTCGTATGAATGCGTTCAGATTTTTGTGGGCGCATTAGCTAGTGGGTTGCTAAATTTGCACCAAGCAAGGTCTACAAGCGCCTCTCCTGAGCAACTCGGTTGGTCACAGAAAGCCTCTTAAGGTTTTATTGTCCATTCTCCCCCACCAGGGATCGAGTTCCAGTGGTTACCGGTTCAAAGGGATGAGACCTCTCCTTTCGGGACTCAGGGGGATTAGTCGGGTCAGACATATCCGAAGAAGCCCGGATACCCCTTGAGCAGAGAAAAAAAAAAAAAAAAGGTCTACAAGCGGTAATTTGCAACAGGGAAGCATTGCACCATTGATCCTGCTCTTAGCTAAGCTTGACCTAAGTAAGGTGTCAATTTTATAGTCGTTTTCAGTGGATAGTAGCTACCTGATACGTGCGAGGCAACTGGCAATTGCAGTATAGAAGAGAGGGTTGTTATGACCTGAGTACAAATTTTTTTTTGAGTACGATCCTGAATTACAATTTTCGCGTCTTTCTTCTGCCACCCCTGTAGACATCAGGATATATGTATCTATCTTCTTTTAACGTATAAATAAACAAATAACTTGATGGTATGAGGATCAAAAAGGATTATGTAGAGAATTTAGTTTAGTCAGTAAATTGAGGGCTTCAGAGACGCCAAACTTTAAAGGACCGTGGGTGAGGGCGTGCTCTTATTTCAAGATCAACCAGCTCTCTCTCATTCCATTGCTGTTTGTAAAGCTTACGGTACAGTATTCAAACGTACTTGTAGTTTCCACTCTTTTCACCCTTTTTTTTTTTTTTTGGGGGTGACAAGTAGTAGAAGGCAGCTAACATAGATAGAGGTTGGACGGGAACATCCGATAATAAACTACCTATGAAATCGGAACATTCTAATGAAAAGTAGCATCTAAGTGATATTCAAAATAAATATTGTGGTCAAACCAAGTGAATTTTGAACTTCTCTCAGAAATTGCTTTGAACTTTTGTTCCCCCACCCCACCCCACCAGCACAAACGCCTTCTTTTTGGCTAATTAGATGTCATGCGCAAACTAAGTTGAAAAGTATCAACTACGCAATGAGTTGGATTGGGAGTGCGTAACTTCTTCTTTTTTTTTTGAGTGCAGTATTTTCACTAAAAATGTACTTTAAATGCTTCCTTATAAGCACCGTTCTCTAAAGTGTAAAAAAATAGAGCTTTCGACTTAAAGTGTAAAAAAATAGAGCTTGTCGAACTTCAAAAACACCACCTTTAGTACAAGAACTTGAAAACTTGGGTGCTCTCAAAATAATCTTCTCATTGCTTTCAACAATAAAAGCTAACTTTTGATCATAAACTTTGAATTGAATCCCAAACCGCACTAACAACTTTTAACATTTTGTGATTCAATTGTGGCAAAATCAGAAACAAAGACGCCCATATATCATAACCTGTAACGTGGCACCAGAAAAAACAAACCTGCCCGGCCTCCCTCCCTCCCTCCCTCCCACATGCCATGCTGCGACCCCAAACTTTACCCCAGGAAAAGCATTTGTACGAGCAAATTTAGAGGGTGGGGTTTTTGCAATTTGTGACTTGTGAGGGGGACAGGGCACAACTCATTATCACCAACCCCACCCCTTTCTTCCCGCTTCCCCATAGCCATAGCTATCAACTAGTGTAAACCCTCCACTACATTATTGTACTCTTTTTTTTTTTTCCCCCAACTGCACAGTTTTGCAAAAAGGAAAAGGGGAAAATAGATAAAGCATCCTTAACCTCTATCCCAGTCCCCCCTCCCCCTCCTCAATCTAGAGAAGCAAAAAGTACACTACTTGGGGTGGGGGGCAGTCCAAAGCATTGTGAGCAGCAGCAGCAGCAGCGCAACTGCACTAGTGAGAAGTGAGAATCGCTTCCCCCGCCCCCAGACCCCCCTCAGTTGTCACTTCAGGCCCCCCAATGAAGTAGAGTAATTGCTTTCTACCTAAAGCAGATTTGTCCATTTTGTC